GTATCAGTCTCGTTCCTTTGATTACAGACCCATCATCTGTACACCACAAAAACCAGATAGAGTCGCATTGGTGCCAGAAAGGCAAGAGAGGTGGACAAACATTGTGAGCTCTCTTGGCTCCCAAGGCTGGTGAGAGCTGTGGCAGAGAAACTGGAACCAGAGCCACATTCCACTGCCGGAAGCCCCACAAAAAAATGTAAACCGTCCCATAAAAGCCAGACCCTGCCGGCTGCAGAAAAGTGCCAAGATGAAAACGAAGGACCTGACTAGAAATCAAGGCAAAGCGGAGATACAGCCAAGAAAAGACTACATCGAAAGAAGGCCGAAGTCAGGGAAAAGCAAATACCGCCAAGACTGAAACCAAGGGCTTACCTTCAGGCCACTGGCGAATGTGCAGGAGAATAACTGTGAGGCTCCACCCACTGTCACGTGACTGACGTGAGTGGCGCTTCTGGAAGAGTTGCAGCCACGTGCTGGCCCGGGGCTCCTCAGAGAGGCAGGGCTTCAGTGTGGCGGGTGAGACACCAGCCTGCGCCCCTGAGCTTTGGGGTGGAGGTGGAACCCCCAGCAGCAGACACTGGGCAACCCTGACCAGGTGCTCGGGGCTGGAGCTAGACAGGAGGAAGGTAAGTGCCTGGCTGACGTCAGGTCTTGAGCGCAACCCTGTTCCAGCCAGCGCTGGGTGGTTTGCTTTAGCAGCTCTCTGGGGTGTCTCTGGCCTTGCCTTTAGGCTCTGAAGAAAATGATTTGTTTTCTCACAAACGGGTCTTTTCTCGGATTTTGGCATCCAGATTTTTGATCATCCTCAAGCAGGCCCCGTATCCCCCATCCTGCCAGCGCTGTTTCATGCATGAAGGTGTTTTGAATGTTACCATGGATTAAAATTAAGTCTGTGAAATTGGAGCCCACCCTTGAGGTAAATGGAGGTATTTGGGACTTTCGTGAACTGGGATTATGAGCTTTTGTTCCATTTCGGTAGAATGCTGCTTTAGAGAACGGGGGCGTTTTGGAAGCCCAAAAGCCCGAGATCCCTGTTAGCATTTATTGAATGACTGCTCTGTGCCTGCCACTGTTCTGGGTACTGCCATGGAATCGGAGACTCGAATGTTTATTACAGTTTCTTTTCCCAGTTGAGTAAAGGGGCCTAGAGGGGGAAAAAAATGACCTAGTGGTCTTCTCTCTGCATATACACAACATCTAAAATTATTTTAATTTGATAGCATCACCCAGTGACTGACTAATGTATGCTTGTGGAGAAAAAAAATGTTTTGAGTTTTAGTACGAGTTACTTTTGTATGGAGTTCACAAGAAAGTATACTTCTTTTGAATGGTTACGTATTTTTAAACAAATTATATAGCTTTATTGAAAATAGAGGCCGTTAGATTTTTAGTCAAACTTTCTTTACTTACAGATATACTTATGACAGAACAATAAAAGAAACGTTATTTGACTTAGAATATTGTTCTAGATCCAATTTTAACTAAATGTAAAGTTTCTAGAAGCATTACCAAGACACAGTTATCCAACATTCAATACTAAAGAACTGAAACATATGGAACTTTACTCAAATTAAAAAAATCAAAAAGAGGGCGCCTGGGTGGCTCAGTGGGTTAAGCCACTGCCTTCGGCTCAGGTCATGATCTCAGGGTCCTGGGATCGAGTCCCGCATCGGGCTCTCTGCTCAGCAGGGAGCCTGCTTCCCTCTCTCTCTCTCTGCCTGCCTCTCTGTCTACTTGTGATCTCTGTCTGTCAAATAAATAAATAAAATCTTTAAAAAAAAAAATCAAAAAGAACAAAAAAAAGCCCACCAGTTACATGTTAATTTAATCTATTTTTGTTTTGGGTATAGTATTAGTTAACAATAGTCTTTTAAGTATGACAAACCACATTAATCAGCATGAGGCAATCTGATCAATAGCTTGGTTACTGGTCTCAATTAATCTGAGAAGAAATATGTTTTATGTCACGAGGATGCCCTGGGTATGCCAATCAAGCTATAAACTGGTAGAAAAAATGTTTATTCCAAATGCATTTGCTTGATGGATATGTTATCAATTCAAGAACTATCCTAGAAAGGAAATTGTGAAAAACATTATCATAAAAAATTAAATTTTTTACTTCTCAGTATATGATCTGGTTACTATGGAAACTGACAACTTGGCCTGGAAGCAATTAATCTTTCAGAAACACATTCCCCAGTCGTATGGTACAGTATCTTCAATAATCATAGAACTAAGTGCCCTAGTATTTAGTCACTCATTTAAAATGATTTTTAAAAAATTATTATTTCATAGTATACTGATATGCTGAGTATATAATATAATTCAGAACCCAGATGAACTAGATATTTCAGTGGGAAAACAAACTCTTCTTTAAGATAGGGGTAAACAGGGTGCCTGGGTGGCTCAGTGGGTTAAAGCCTCTGCCTTCGGCTCAGGTCATGATCCCAGGGTCCTGGGATCGAGCCCCGCATCTGGCTCTCTGTTCAGCAGGGAGGGAGCCTGCTTCCTCCTCTCTCTCTCCGCCTGCCTCTCTGCCTACTTGTAATCTCGTCTGTCAAATAAATAAATAAATCTTTAAAAAAAAAAAAAAAAGATAGGGGTAAACAGAACTTAGGTAAATTAGGGGAAAATTAAGCCTTCTGGTCACAAAGAGATACCCTTCAGATTACCTCAGAATTAGACTTAGAAAAGAATACAGGAAAACTGGCTATTCCCTTATGTAATTTATTTGTTAATATTGCTAATCAGTAATAGCAATATGAAAATGTACGTATTATGTCTATGATTTCATATGAGCGGCTACATAACAACCTTGTCACATAGTTATAAAATATGATGATGAACTTCATTTTAAAAATAATAAAACACATTAAAATAATTTAGGGTATTTTACTCTAAAGTGCAACAGTATTCAACAACTTGTAAGTAGTAAAGTAAGTATATGTACCATTTCCAAGGCTATCCTATGTCAGCTATGAACTCAGTGGTAGAAGTGCATATAAAGGGGGCTCATCTATTTGAGGAAAAGACATGGAGCTGTGTTATGTGACACACAGTTAAACCCAGTATCACTGGGTTTATAACAGTGTCGCTGAAATAAATTCAATCTCCTTCCTCATTCCCCATGTACAACTTGGGTATATTTATTCAAGAGTGAAGGTAACACACTAACCGAACACATTCTCTGTGCCTAACACAGTTTCTGACATTTTATCTGTCGGACTTTATCATGGAGGGAAAAACAGTCTTTAAGATAGATTAAATTTGGGGGCACCTGGGTGGCTCAGTGGGTTAAGCCTCTGCCTTCAACTCAGGTCATGATCCCGGTGTCCTGGGATCGAGCCCCTCATTGGGTCTCTGCTCAGCAGGGAGACTGCTCCCCCCGCCCCGCCTCTGCCTGCCTCTCTGCCTACTTGTGATCTCTGTCAAATAAATAAATAAAATCTTAAAAAAAAAGATAGATTAAATTTTAATTAAATTCAAAGTATAAAATATGTACAGGTGTTTTTTACTATTTTCGGATAATTGGTACTAGAAAGGGACAAAATAAAAAGGAATGAAATGCCATAATAATTAGCAATAATAAGCTTGAATTGGGACTTTATATTAAATAATTGAAAAATTAAAAGTAACACTTAACCTTACATACAATAAAGTATAGTTTATAACTTTAACTTTTACCTTGTATTTATTAAGCTCTATGTATAATAAAATACATTTAATAAAATATATTTAAAAATAAAATAATTTTATTTATATATTTAATTTTAGGCATAATAGTTGTGAAGAAATATTTCATGCTAAGATGTATTTAATGTCATGTTTGAGTTGCAAAATAAGACCACAGAGAGAACCTATTTGCCAAAATATACTTTGCAAAGTTTTCAGTTTTCTCAAAGTCTTCCTTAGTCCTATGATTTTAAAATAATCTTGTCTCAAAGCGCTTAAACTATTACTATTTTTGAGGTATTTGTTTTCCAGACTTTATCATATCTAATGCGAAGACATCCTTCTTTGTTTAACACATTTGGGTTTGAGTAGTTCTCAGCTTAATTTTAATCAAATTTATCATATTGTCTAATTTTTGGATCATTAGAAGATTTTCTTTGCAAGTTATTTTAATTGTTTTCTTTTTTTTTCAAGTCACTCAGCAATTATTGAGTTCTTCCTAACTGTGTCTGGTACTGTTCTAGGTTCAGAGATGAAAGCATAGTGTCCTTTAACCAGGTGGAGCATATATTTTATTTGGGAAAAGCAAATAAGAAATACCTGAATTAATTAGTTTATAAGACAAACTCAGATAATTTCTACGCAACTGTATTATAGTAGTATGATAGAAATTGACTAGAGTTTACTGAGGTCTCTGGGTTAGCTGGTGTGTTTAGGAAAGATTTATTGAGCTTACACTAAAATGATGTGTAGGGGTCATTTGAGGCAATTAAGAAGAGTATTCCAAATGTAGAAACTAGCAGGTAAAAAAGTATTGGGTGGGAACACAGCCACTGTGTTTGATGAGCAGGATAAGGACATGTGTAGGTAGTGTTCAGAAGGGAGGTTGGAGAGATTAAGTTGGAGAGTTAGGCATTCTGCTAGGTAGAATGTGATTGACCATAATAATGAGTTGGATTTTAGGCTGATTGAAATAAAAAAAAAAGTTTTGGGGGGGTCTTATAGGGAAAGGATGCAGTCTGTTTTAAAAAGGATTACTTTGGCTGATATGTGGGAGAAAATAATGGTAGCAGAAATGATAAATAGAAGACTGTTGTATTAGATGTGAGATTATAGCAAAATGGGTAAGTGTGGTATCAGGATACATCACATGATTTGGTTATAATTAGAACATAGTGGGCACCTGGGTGGCTCAGTTGGTTAAGCCTCTGCCTTCAGCTCTGGTCGTGGTCTGAGTCCTAGGATCGAGCCCCACATTGGGCTCTCTACTCAGCAGGGAGCCTGCTGCTCCCTCTCTCTCTGCTTCTCCCCCTGCTTGTGTGCTTTCTCTCTGTCAAATAAGTAAAATCTTTAAAAAAGAAAAAAATAATAATTAGAACATAGTTGGAAACTAGAGAAAATAGGATGTGATAGATTATATGAGGGATAGATCATGAGAGAAGTAGAAGAACAGAAGAATATTCCTAGGTTTATGGGAAAAGTAACTCACTGCCTGATACTTGCATTTACTGAAAAGAGAAGACTTGGTTATAGGTTTCCTGGGCCTAATATTTCTGTTTGACAGATATATATATATATATAGATAGATAGATAAATATGTCTATCTATCTATATATATATATAACTTCCAAGCAGAGATGGTTTGTAGATAGTTGGATATAAATGAAGGAGGCTAGAGCTATAAATATGAAGCCAGTCACCAGCATGCAGATAACATCTAGAAACATGTAGATAATGGGAATAAATAAGAAATGATCTTCAATGACTGCTAAAATCACTGGGTGAAAATGTTGAAAGAGAAACTATAATGAATAGATAAGATCTGAAGTTGACCAATTTTAACTGCCTAAAAAGATAGACCTGAAATAACTCTTTATTTGAAATGCATAGCAACTAAAACTAAATGGCACCACCTGTGAAATATTCCTTTCTAAAAATTTAACATGAATCTCATCATATCTCTGGGTGTAATTAAGTTTATAGAAAGAATTGGGGATACAATTAGCCAAATGAAGATGTTGGAAATTCTGCAGGACTAAGGACTAGTCTCTTTAAGAAGTGAATGGGGAGAAAAAAAGGAGATCTGTTCTAGATTAAAAGAAATTTAAAAACCATGTTAAAAAAAAAAGCTCAATCCATAGGATTTATTAAGATCCTGATTTTAAAAAAGCAAATGTAAAAAGACAGTTATTAAAATGGGGCAAAGAGATTTTAACACTGACTGGATATAAGAAAAATAACTGTTTTATGGCTATACTTAAAAACCTCTGGGGGAGATGAAGCCTGAGAGACTGTATACTCTGTGGAACCAAGTGAGGGTTTTGGAACGGAGGGTGTTGAAGAGGAGGGTGAGCCTGGTGGTGGGTATTAAGGAGGGCGTGTATCACATGTAGCTCTGGTAGTGATGCATAAACAATGAATCTTGAAACACTGAAAATATAAACAAAAGTAAAAAAAAAAACAAACCTCTGGATGGAGCGCCTGGGTGGCTCAGTGGGTTAAAGCCTCTGCCTTCAGCTCAGGTCATGATCCCAGGGTCCTGGGATGGAGCCCTGCATTGGGCTCTCTGCTCAGCAGGGAGCCTGCTTCCTCCTCTCTCTCTGCCTGCCTCTCTGCCTACTTGTGATCTCTGTCTGTCAAATAAATAAATAAAATCTTAAAAAAAAACCAAAAAACCTCTGGATTATTGAAAGTAGAAATGCTATATGCCTCGTTTAAAATGGTCCAGCCTTGGGTAATAGGCATTAGAAATGGACCGAGATTCATCATTTATTGGTCATTATGAAGCTGGATTATAAAAAATATTTATGAATCTTTAATCTGTGCTTGAAAATTCCCATGATAATCATGTTTATGCATAAACAAAAGAGTAAATATATAAAATATTAAATATAAAGCTGTGGAAAAACTAAGGAGAACATGAGGAGATGGTTGAGAAGAAAACCTTGGAGCAGCTCCCTTTAAATATATAAAATATTAAATATAAAGCTGTGAAAAAACTAAGGAGAACATAAAGATGGTTGAGAAGAAAACCTTGGAGCAGCTCCCTTTAAGGATTGAAGAGGAGTGTCACAAAGAAGCTGAGGACTGTTAGGGATATTGGAGGAAAGCCAGATAAATGCCACATCTTGGCATCTAGATGGATGTGTGTGTGTGTGTATGTGTGTGTGTGTCCTCAAGAAAATGAAGGGAGTAGTTAGGAGTGTAAAATGCTATTGAGATTTTTGTTAAGATGAGGAATGAGAATTCACTATTAGATCAAACAATATATTGGTAATGTGTCATATATAAGACCAGTTTCAGTGTTTTACAGAAATAAGAATGTGAACAGAGTAGTTTGGAAGAGAATGGGAGATGAGAAAGGGGAGGTAGCAATATGGACAACTTTTTAAGGGAATTGAACTGGGAAATGAGGCAACAGGACTGTGACATGTGATCGAGAATTTTTTTTTTTTTAATTTGGATGATATCAGAGCAAGTTTGCATACCCACAAAGTACTGCAGTAGAATAGAAGGAAAGTGCTGATATAGTAAAGATGGAGAGAATTACAGGAAAGAGTTTCTTTAGATCAAAAGGCTGGGATCCTCCATATAAATAATAACAGGAGCAGAAATACTTTTTATGGTCACAGAACAAAAAGGAAGACAACACAGGTAGATTTGGTGGTGGAAATAATAAAATCACTTGCCATCCATGAAGCACGATTATTGTAGATTACAATTTTCAGGAGAAAATATGGGAAATTGCTGTACCAAAAAATGAAAAATCAGTTTCTATGTAGCGGTGTGGTTGTCAGTCTTTAGTGCCTGTTTGAGATTGGTGGCTACAAATTTGAAAGCAAACCAGTATGTTCAGTGTGGTTTGATTTTCTCCAAAAATTCTCAGTTGCTTGGTTATAAACATGAGATAAGCCTGCAGTTTGGATTAAAGAGGTTTGACGTTTTTGCCAGTTGTAGAAGAAAGAGGCATGAAAATTAGGGATGTGTGCAAGAATGTAGTTACCACGTGGTGGTGGATTGACATTGTGAGAGAGGTTGGACAGCTGTTAACATGGGCATACTGGAGTAAGTGAACTGGAAAGATAAGTTATGATGGTCAGAAAATGGGGTGTCAAAAAGTGCAATTTGAGGCGCTCCTGGGTGGCTCAGTTGGTTAAGCATCCAACCCTTGTTTTGGTTCAGGTTGTGGTCTCTGCATCCTGGGATTGAACCCTGCACTGGGCTCTCTGCTGAGTGGGCAATCTACTTGATATTCTCTGTCTCCATCTCCCTCTGCTGCTTCCATGTTCTCTCAAAATAAATAAATAAATCTTTAAAAAAGTGCAGTTTGAGGAATAGTTCTGCTATGAATATTATTGACAATCTCTGTTAATATAAATATATAGCATATATATACCTTATTAACATATTAATAATAATATATTAATTATTGATATATTGAAGATAAACTCAACCTAGCAGGTGAGTGGGTGATTGAAATTAGATTAAGGAAAATCTGCTTGAGGAATAGGAAACCAGGAAACCAAGGAAGCCAAGAAACTGAAAAAACAATATTTTCAATTTATCATTTACATGATTATTGATGTAAACAAAAAAGATGCCAAAAGTAGTGGTCAAAGATAAGACATTTTAGATGAAAGATAAACAATGTATAGAGATTTTTGAGACTATCGTGCAGGGGTTTGATGAAGATAGGCTTTGAACTCCAGAAGGCTTGTCAAAAGAGATAGAGATTGATAAAATGTTAAATGTGGCATTTGGGATCAGATAAAGAGATTATGTGTCTTGAACAACACGGGGTTGGCCATCCTGGAAACTGGAGTCACCAGGATGATCATTCCTCTAATGGTGAGTGAACTGAGATTGACAGAATGGTATGATGGGATTGGGTCAAGAACTTTTTAAGAAGAAAGAGAAATAGCCAAATGTAGTTGGCCTGGCTTTTGATAAAATAATTTTAAGGAAGAAATGAGAAAATAGAAGTTTTCAGGCAGCTGTTAAGTTTTGCACGGTTGTTCTTTTCAGATTGAAAATGCAAGTAAATTTTGGTTTCTATATTCTTTTTTTTAATTTTAATTTTAATTTTTTATTTTTTATAAATATATAATATATTTTTATCCCCAGAGGTACAGGTCTGTGAATCTCCAGGTTTACACACTTCACAGCACTCACCATAGCACATACCCTCCCCAATGTCCATAACCCCACCCCCCTTCCCCAAACCCCCCTCCCCCAGCAACCCTCAGTTTGTTTTGTGAGATTAAGAGTCACTTATGGTTTGTCTCCCTCCCAATCCCATCTTGTTTCATTTATTCTTCTCCTATCCCCTTAGCCCCCATGTTGCATCTCCACTTCCTCATATCAGGGAGATCATATGATGGTTTCTATATTCTTCATGGCATTACACTACTGATCTCAGCAAAGAAGTTTATTTGAAACATGTAATTCCTCATTGTCTGTTACTTAATTTCCTCCTTTTTAAAATTCACTTCTGTTTATTGTGTTTCACAGTACTGAAACTTGCTTACCTATCGCTTTTCCTTATTTGTCCTATTGCCAGCAAAGTTTTATCACAGCAGGCACAGTGATAAACGCTGATGTCTGTGTTGTTAAAAAATAGGATCAAATAAAGCATGGTTCTTATGCTGTTACCTCAGGAGAGCTGTGTGATGTTCAGTATAAAAGAAGGACAAAAGTGTCAAGACGATGGACTGAGGAGTGTGATAGGCACATGTTTTCTAACTTCTGATTTGATACTAATTCTGGAAGGGGTCCAGATAAATTTGTGCTTTTTTTTTTTTTTTAAAGATTTTATTTATTTATTTGAAAGAGAGACAGTGAGAGAGAGCATGAGCGAGGAGAAGGTCAGAGAGAGAAGCAGACTCCCCGTGGAGCTGGGAGCCCAATGCGGGACTCGATCCCGGGACTCCGGGATCATGACCTGAGCCGAAGGCAGTCATCCAACCAACTGAGCCACCCAGGCGTCCCTAAATTTGTGCTTTTGACATAAAGAATAATAGTAATATATCTGCATGTTTACTTATATACCATATAATTCAGAAAAAGAAAAAGAGAAATCATTAGGTGACTTCCAACAGCTTTTAATATATAATAAGATAAATATGAAATTTGGATTCAGTAGCACATAGTTACTAAATATGGATAAATGTTTACCATTACACTTTAAAGCATACAAAATAAAGAGTCAAATAGTATTTATTTATAGTAAGTAATGCAATGAATTTTTTCTCCAATGGTTCTTTCTTCATTTAATTATGTCAAAACATAATTAAATGAAAACAAAAATAATGAGGTTCAAGTATATATATTTGTGATGACCTCATATAATTTATCAGTAAATTCTTGGTTGTATGAACATGATAACAAGTTTTGTATATTACTTCTA